CCAGTAGTTGGCAAAGCGAATAAAGAACGATTTCTCGAAAATCATCTTTTGGAAAGTTCATAGTCATTACTGAAAACTAGTCAATTGATTGCATTTACATCACATTTATCTCCCGCATGACCATTACTTTCGTTCCTGGTGAGGTCAACAAATCACCTTATTCGGTCCTGCAAGCTTTATGGAAGTCTCATCACATAATAGCTTACGGATCAGGGAATAATTTGATATTATCAACTATAAGTAAAACTAGTCAAGATTCATCATCTAATAAGGACATTCAGAGTAATCATTTACAAACGGTTTATCTTGAGTCAGACCCTACAGCAGTAAGCATCAATTCAAATAATGGTCTAGTTGCGACCGCTTTGAATAATAAACTTTTCATTTTTAAACCAGTCAATGAGTACATGTCAAAACCCCAATGGCTGGAAGCTCTCGTTATTTCCAATGAAAAAGATAACTCCTCGATCAACTGCTTACTGTGGGCTATAAATGAAGATGAATTGGTTGTGGGAAGTGATGAATCTTTGACCGTTTACCATATATTTATAGAATATGGAACAGTGAATTTCAATCAGCGTTTTTGCAAGCTACAATCCAGTCCTATTCATGACATTAGACTCACCCCCGACTCAGCTAGAATTATAACTTACAGTACTCGGAGATTTAATAATTTAATCAAATTTTGGTCCAGAATAAGTTTTAATGACGATCAGTCTCTATTTGAATTGACTTATTTGAAACACCCAAACGGAACTTGGGTGAAAGATGCAAAATGGAGAAATAAAAACCCAAATTTCTCTCACAATAATCAAATAGATGCCTCAATGGCAAATATCAAAAATATAAGAAGCTATATTGGTGATTCGAATAATGATAATGACATACTTTATACCTTGACCAATGATAATGTAATTAGGGTTTGGTCCACCTTCGAGTTCAGTGGTCGTAATCACATAAGGTGTTGGAACGAGCTCGACCTTCGAAATTATATGATTAGTGGTGAGGATGTTTCAGGAATTGAGATTTTTGATAGTTCCTATCTTAGAAGTTCGTTGGTACCACTACTTCAAAATACAGATGAGGGTCTTTTTAAATGCATAGATACCACCCGTGAGTTCGATTTGATGTTTGTGACTAATAGAGCGGGACAAGTCTCAATCTTTGCTGTGACAGATCTTAATGGAAACCCACCAAATGGAATTAAGTTTACTAAGCTTGGTGGAAGTTTCAAGTTTGATGTGAACTCGTTCCCACTTTCAACTAAAATCTCAAAATTTGAAAGTATAAGTAAAGAATTTATCAAATCACAAGAATTCAATGTTAATCTCAATCCAGTCATTTTTTCACAAAGCTCAATATTTCATAATGATGATGTTTGTTTACTCGTCCATGATCGTATCAAAGATACTATAAGAGTAAATATATTTAATTTTAAGCATTTGATAGAAGAAAAAGATGATTATATAGGTTGTCAACTCATGAACAAATTCCAAGGACATACTAAGTCAATAAGAAAATTGGTTACTTCGTCCTCATATTCTAAAAGTAACATACTTTTATCTATTCTGAATTTTCCGGAGCACAATTATATTTGGGAACCTTTACTTTTGAATCCTAAAAAGAATCAAAGCATGTCTGTAACTAAAAGGTTTCAAGTTGATGTTAGACGCGGAATAGCTTCGGACCCTCACCAAGAAGGAATTTGGGATGCCATTCTAATTAATGATATCAGACCGAGTCTCAATAACAGAAGACGCCATTTGGTGATTACTTCTGAAAGGGGAGGATATCTCAGTTTCTGGAGCTGTAATGGTATTAAACATGATGATGAAGCGGCTCAGTTAGTACAGAGAGTTGCTATGTTAAATGATACTGGTGATCATATACATGAAGAACCCAAATCACTTCTATTGATCAACTCTCATGAAGATGAATATTGTGCAATCAGTATTTTCAATGAAAAGCTCATAAAGGCTTGGAAATTTAATGTCTCGGATGATGACGATGATATCAAAATAGACATTCAAGACTTGAGAGAAAATGTAGAACCTTTGGCCCACATATCATCAATCCACAAAATTTCCACAATCGATTCATTTACGTCTAATAATTTGGTGTCTATAATAGATGAGAAGGGTACCTTGAGAATATTATCTACCCATTTTGACAATAGTAAGGTCTATTGGAAGGAATTAAAGAAAATACATACTAATATTTCCAATGCCAGCAAAATTCATGGTTCTTCTATCATTAAAAGATTTGCTATTGTTGATGAAAAAGGTTCTAAATTGACTATTTGGGATACTAAGTCCGGGATTCTTGAGTATGAAGAAGAACTACCAAAAAACTATGGGCCTGTTCGAGACCTTGACTGGACATTCGTTGAGTCTACCTTTGATCAATCATCTAATGCCATTCTTTCTGTTGGTTTTGCAAGATTTGTTCTATTGTATACTCAACTAAGATACGATTATACCAATAATATACCAACCTTTGCTGTATTGAAAAAAATTGACATATCTGATTATACGTCTCATTTGATAGGTGACCTGATTTGGATAGATGATGGATTCTTAGTAATTGGTTGCGGTAATCAATTCTTTATAGACGATAAGTGGGTTAAATTAGGTTCTTCACAATCCATAGATTACCTCATAAAACAGTTGGTGGTCGGCTATAATAGCGGTTCAGGTAGCGATAATGAAAATTATGAGATTTCACATCTAGTGAAAATATTGAATGGTCCATTACCTGTTTACCATCCCCAATTTTTAATCCAAGCACTCTTCATGAATCAAACAAAATTAGTTCAAGACGTTATTGTGACTTTGTTCAAAGCCTTACGAAAGGATGAGGCTATCAAATGGGACTTAAATATAAACATGGAAAAAGAAATTCTTAGCACAAAGGATAATAATGGATTAGCTTATTCATCAATGCATCAAAATACATTGGGAGATGTATTTGAAAATTTTACACCAACGCTACTGGACCTATTAATTGAAAAATTGACAAAGACTTCATTGCCTTTGTTAACAAGACATCAGCAAATCACCTTGATTCTGGTTATTACAATCTTGAAAAAATTGTATGAGAATAACTCCATGGACGAAAATGGGGCCAGATTTTTAATTGGATTCAAATTATTCCAGTCCAATCTGAAACAGCTTAAGCTTACCATGAGAGATATAAACTGGGCACTTCACAGTGATAATAGAGAATTGATTTATGGATACATTGAAGATCAATTTCAACATAGAATTACCTGGGATATCGCCAAAAAAGTGGGTATAGTATATTGGATCAATGAACGGGAAAAATTGGTACAAATCGTTGAAAAATGTGCTAGAAATGATTTTAGTACTAACCGGGATCCTTCAGGATTGATTACTCTTTTTTTCTTATCAATCAGAAAGAAGCAAATACTTCTAGGCTTGTGGAAAACTACAACTCATCCAGAGAAGCAAAAAATGTTGAAATTTTTAAATAATGATTTTAGTCAGCCCAGATGGAAATCTGCTGCATTGAAAAATGCATTTGTTTTGTTGGGAAAACATAGATATTTGGATGCAGCTTGCTTTTTCTTATTGGCTGATAAACCTAAAGATTGCTGTATCACTTTGGCAAATAAAATTGAAGATATTGAATTATCATTATTGATTGCAAAAGTTTATGATAACTCCAGTGAATCTTTGGTTAATATTATAGAGAATAATGTTTTACCAACAACATTAAAGGAAGGAAATAGATGGATCACAAGTTGGATCTTTTGGGAATTAAATTTGAAGCAATTATCGATACAGGCTTTAATTAAATCACCAATTTCAATAGTCAATGCTAATAAGGATAAATTTTCCGAAGATTTTTACAATAACCATTTGAAAAATCTAATCTTGGATAGTAGCAGTAGACTGTTTTTGCAAGATGATCCAGTTTTAGCTATCTTGTATAACAACTTGAGAAGACGGAAAGTTAATTATCTCGAAGGATCATTCTCTATTTCTCCAGCTGCAGAATTTGAATTTGTTATAAAAGTATCTTCAATCTATACTCGAATGGGTTGTGATTATTTGGCGTTATTATTAGTAAGAGATTGGGAATTCAAAGAATACAATGACGGTAAAACGAAGGTTGCAGATACTAAAGACGATGATAATGATATTTTCAAAGAGTTTAAACCAACTCTTGCTCCACCTCAGCCAACTACATTTGAAGAACCCGATATTATGAGTTCATTTGATTTTTGAATAAGTAAATTATATATTCAATGCATAGTATAGGACTAAAAAACTTCCACAGAACTCTTTAAATCATTCCAAATATTTTCAATTAGGAGAGCCCATTTATCACCAAAATGTACTAATATTTGAATTAGAAAATAAAATTGTAGTCTTGCGATTATAAGTGATCTTATAGAACTGAAAACCGAAAAGTTGAAAAATCCAATTAATAAATAGGCTGACTCTTCAAAATTTTCATCACTGGTATCAACCAAGATTTTCTTTAACCAAAACCTTCCAAAGTATTTAACAAAAAATTTATCAATGCTATCAAAGAAAAAGGGTCTAACGTATATGAAATCTTTCAAATCAGACTTCAAAATAAACGAATCATTGATATCCTGATCTAATGGCAAGCCACATAGCTCTGGTTGATCTTGACATAGGGATTTCAGTACTAGTATTATATTAAAATTTCGTTTAAACGATTCCATATTGGAAGGATTTACAATGTATGGGGTAATAGCGATAACAAGAATAACAGGTAAGATCACTTTGACAATAAAGTTGATATTTTCCCTTAGCTCATATCTTCTGGGCCCTAGAAATGGCATTTTCGTAGTTGATGATTGGTAATCGCAATTTGCAATAAGTTATCATCGATCATGTATTTAATGTCTTAGATCTTTGAAATCGGTATATTTAAATATAAAATACTGCACACTTGTCTTAACTTCAAAGCAAAAAAAAAAAAATAATATGACTTTGGCAAAATAGCATTCCACCCGGGACTCGAACCCGGAGCCTTCCCCTTAGGAGGGGGACGCGCTACCGTTGCGCCAGTAGAACAGTAAGAAATAGCATTGTTCGCTTGTCTGACGACCATGCCAAAGGGCAAATTTTCCACTTTTTTGAAAAATATTCAACTATGAAGGATTGTCTGTGGTCAGATAATTTAAAGGAACTATCAATTTTGGGCAAAATAGCAACAATTTAACAGTTCATTCAAGCTATTCGCTCTATATATTGCTCCATGTAATTACCTTTTGATCGAGTTTATATATATATACGTGAAAAAAAATATGGGTCCCGTTGCCGGACATAAACTTCGGACCCACTCTTGGACGTATTTGTGCTCAACGGGTTCTCCATCGCCAAAAACTTATGGTATTGAGCGCTTGTTATCAAATTTTGTCTTTCTAGGCTTCAATGATGCCATTAATATATTATGTGGGTAGATCAGACCCATAATCAACCACCAGTATCCATTAGTATTAGATACATGGTTCTAGTGCGGTTGACCATAACACACGCATAAATGGTATTAGTCAGATACATACTAATACTTGGTAGCACAGTGGATTAAATCGATACAGCCAGATTAATCTTTAAGTATAGTTTGTGTTTTTATTTGATGATGTATTATGCCGTTCAATGTAGATATACCAGTACATCATCTGCAGACCTTCATGGTCTGGCAACTTATTTGAGTGTGTATCATGCCTCTCCTCGAAATTTGATATGACTGTTTCGCCGAGAGTGCAAAGACCTTTTCCATCTTCTATTTTTGCTTGTTTATCAAATACTTGACCAATTATCATAACGTATAATATATCGTTAATTATTTTAAACGGTGTGTAAATTACTAACAATACTGCAAAGATGAGTCTTTTCATGCGTTGAATATAATAAATCATAATTGAAAAGTAATGTAACAAAAGTAATATTAATATAAAAGAAACTCAGTTGGAATATAAAAGCAGAGAGACTAATGACTATTTCTCCTGGTTTGAGATCGTATGTACGGGTGTAACACCATCATAATGAGCTGCAAAATTAAAATGTAACGTAACAGCCTGAAGATCCAATATACTGGTTTTATAACGAAAATAAACTAATATAGATTATCTTGCAATATGAAGTATATATTATAAGATTTGAGAGAGAGAAGAATTACTTTTTCTATATGATAAAAGTAACCAAGAGACTTCAAAAAAAAAAATAGAGGGATAAATTTCATCGACGAATGTTTACCTATTTAACTAATACAATTATCACTGTTCCATCCGTTCGAACTCCTGTTGTTACACAACAACATATAAGGAACTTCATTCATAATCTTCATTCAAGTAGTATTTTCTTTCATTTATTATTTTATAATTTTGCAACAAACACCAGATGTACGGATTTTATTCATAAAAATCCTCTTACGTCTCAACAAGTTCGTCATACGATGTATAATGGAGCCATGGAGAAACACCTTTCACTTTTTTAAAGAAAGTGCCTTTATAAAGGATTGTTTTTCATTAAGAAATAAAACTCGATCAATAGATGAAATGCTTGGTCTTTGCTCTGAACATTTATATTTCGAGCCTAGACCAATAATTAAGAAATCCCGGTGCTCTGATCCTCTAGTCGCTAGTTTTCTTAACTGATAGTATATATATTGAATCTAAAAAGAACTAATCCAAGACGACCAGCCATACGCACATTATAAAACTGTTGTCAATTGGCTGGTTGCTTGCTTTATCTACAGATGTTGAGACAAAACCACATACTACGACTGAACTTTCACATACACCTGGGTGATACCTTCGTAACTATGAAGCTCAAAGAGCATATATCGAAAAGTCCACTACATGTTGCCATTAGGAAATTTTGGTAGTCCCATTTTAAATCTTTCAATTGGGGATCCTCGGGAGATAGCCAGGTACTCGATCTGCTACTGCAAAACATACCTATAGCCTTACTCTTTCGGCTTATCTCCTGGTTGCAAATTTTCCCTGAAACGTGCAAGCAAGAGTCCCAGTTCTAATCCCGTTTGCTAATCTTAGTGCACCGAAAGCATCGCAAGCTCCAGGTTTCATTGCCAATGTTTTTTCAGTCACCGAGACAGTTGCAAAGCCCATTTTGACACATCTGTCATAATTTCTTGAATCGGATTCACATTTGAGTCGAGCAAGACTAATCCAGTGGCGAGACGATCAATTGGCTACCATCAACACTGAGCTTCACCCCAGCCGGAGGTTACTCATAGGTGAACCATCGAATCAGCATTTGCTGCTTCCCAAAACTGACAGCTTACGTGCTAAACCCTCCGAACGGCTATAACGAAATAGGTGAAAAAACGGTAGGTCCACTCGGAAATATACCTAATCCCGTTTTAAACCCGTCTCTCGCCCGCATTATTACCGAATTTGACTGCAAAAAAAAAAAAATTTTTGTTAATTCCACCTCGGTACTACCGAGTATCAAACCTATAAGTATGAATCAAACTGTCAAGATCAATTGAAGTTTTCAGATCAACTTTTTGCAATAATTACAAAATGGTATCTAGAGAATCGACTGTGACTAGTCTAGTCAGTGGGAATAATAAGAGCTTACCCAGTGATGAAGCACCAAGATCATTTAATGAGAACGAACTTGAAAGTCAAGAAATACAAGAACATAAATTTAAAGAATCGGATGCTGGTGATGGGACGCAAAGAGACGATCATTATTTGAAGGGGATGAAGTTGTTAACCTGTTTATTTGCGCTCTTATTGTGTTTATTTGTTGTTGCTTTGGATCAAACGATTATTGTTACTTTATTGAGTGTAGTTGGGAATAAATTCAATGCATTCAATCAAGTTGGATGGATTTCGAGTGGATTTTTACTTAGTGTGACTATATTCACTGTTATATGGGGAAAATTATCGATTATGTTTGGAAGGAAATATAGTATGTATATTTCGTTGATTATATTTGAAGCTGGTAGTTTAATGTGTGCGTTAGCAAATAACATGAATACGCTAATTGGGGGAAGAGTGTTAGCTGGGGTTGGAGGAGGAGGAGTCCAATCGTTGGTTTTCATTATAGTTAGTGAGGTTGTACCAATACATTCTACCAAAGGCTTGTTTAGTATTAATAGGGCCTCATCGTTTGCCCTTTTAAGTATTGTTTTTTTGGTTGCTTCGGTGGTTGGACCGATTATTGGTGGTGCATTCACATCATCTTCCGCCAGTTGGAGATGGTGTTTTTATATCAACTTACCAATTGGAGGACTTGCCGGAGTGTTATTTGGATTTGCCTTCAATCCCCCTTTCCCCAAGGGTAATCTTTTCAAGAAATTATTGACTATTGATTATATGGGAATCTTTTTAATGTCTGCCGGATGGACTCTTTTCTTGTTGGCCTTGACTTTTGGAGGAGGAAGTGAATTTTCGTGGGATTCTTCCGCAGTCATCTCATGTTTTGTCCTTGGAGGAGTCTTGATAATTGGATATTTTGTTTATAATCATTATTTATCTAAGAATCAGATTATTCCAACTGCAGTACTCAGCATCCCACAGAACATTGCTGCTGCGGTTGCTACTTTTGCCGTGTTTGGCTACTTCATAGCGTCGTTATTATATTTGGCTATTTATTTTCAAGTTATTTGGAACGCATCTCCCATGAAGTCCGGTATTCATATTTTACCAATTGTTATCCCGGTTATATTATTTTCAATTATTTGTTCGGTCATCATTAATAAGACTAGATACGTCAAGCCGATTGTGCTTGTCGGGGCGGTTTTGGGACCAGTGGCCAACGGATTATTATGTTTATTGGATGTGGATTCCTCCAATGGTAACAAAATCGGCTTGTTGATCCTTGTTGGGGTTTCCATTGGTCTTCAAATGCAACCATTATTCCTTGCTGCTCAAATCAGTGCCCCCAAGACCCCAGGTGGAACCATTTTGACCACTACGTTTATAAATTTCGCCAAGTCCTTGGGTGGAGCCGTTTCTGGGAATTTGGCTGATGCGGTTTACGGGGCTTCCATCAAAAGATTCTACAACGAGCGTATTGCAAATGCGCCTGCTTCGATCGTGAAAGAGTTGTCCAAAATCAATGGTGACACCTTGGTCAATTCGACCCAGTCTTTAAGTGGCTACTCCGATGAAACTTTAACCTTTTTGAAAAAAATCATCATGTCTTCTATTACAAATGTGTTCTACATGCAATTGGGTTTTGCTGGTTTAGGGTTAATTGCAATTTTGTTTATCAGTAACCGTCGTTTACCAGAAGGCGAATCGAAGCCCGAGTCGAAACCAGAGTCGAACCTGGAGTCGAACCTGGAGTCGAAACCAGAAGCAGAATCGAAACCAGAATTAAACCCAGAATCAAAACTGGAACCAAAACCAGGCTCCAGCCCAGACTCAAGCCCGGAATAAAGACCCGAAAATCTCTAATCCCATGTAAATAGCTCGTATACTAATAAATATCTCTCCCGCGTTTTGGGTGCAAAAATTGTAAACGCAACATGTACGGATCTCTTTTTTTTTTTTTTTTGATCTTTTTTTTTTTTTTTTTTTTTTTTTGACTTTTTCTTTTATCACCGGTTTTCCAGTCTTTTTTTTTTTTTACATCAATTGATGCAAAAGCTAAAACTTATCGTGATGGCTTTTACGATCTCAACAAAAAGAGGAGCAGTAATCCAAGCCTTGACCACTAGCCAAGGAACCCCTGCTGCTAATCAACCTATTTAGCCCTACCTGATTGAGGGAATTTCCCTCTGGTGCGCGTGACATCAACTCTGAAACAGCCAGCACTACTGGCTATCCTGGGTCAGTTGGAATCACCGATGGTCCAACTGTTTAAACGGCTGTGGGAGTTTACGGACCTTCCTTTGTTCAATGCTTCCACTGAACAACTATCAATGCCTTAATTAATTAATTACTTTCCTTGGTTTCTTTTGTCTTTTTTTTTTTTTTTCCATTTGTTAGTGGGTTTTCGTTTTATTTATTTTTTTTTTTTTTCCCTGTCACACAGCCTCCATTAGTACTTTAAGGACACTAATCTTTAACCAGAAAAATGGAATTACACTA